GTTGAAGAAGCGACGCTGCCTCGCTCGGTGGTATTCGCAGCGCTCTGACGAGGGTCGCGAACAGAAGCTGGAAGTTGTCCTATCCGACCCCTGCTGTCTCAGCTTCGATACGCGGTATTTCTCAACGCGCCAGAACACGATATATGCGCTCATTGCTGTGAACTCTGAAACCCGCGCATCGCAAGTCCTGGTTGCAGATTGCACTCACACTTGAAATTCCCAAACTTCTGCGACAGAAGATACCGCATGTGCGCCGCAGAACTCCACGATTATTTCTGACCCGGAATAGATGGCACCTGACGGGGTCCGCATGGCCATGCCCCTAGCGAAGCATTGGAGGCCTCGCTGGAGGGCAGCAACCATCTAGGAGGGCGTCAAGCGTCCAGAGTGGACGTTGGGCTACGCGCGGAATTCACTGATTCACACACGAAAAAATGTTCCTAACAGGTGCCCAGGAAGGTCCCCGCGTCTGGTCGCCCTCGGGTTCTCGTATCATGTGGCCGATGATTACGCTTATGGCGACGGCCACTACCCCGTAGATGGCGAGGCTCAGGCGGTAGAGCCAGTGGGAGTATGCGTTGTATGTAGTGGTCGTAGTGGGGATACCGGTCACAATTCCGCGAGCAGCTGGGTGTTGAAACAAATTCGGCTGTCGGCGCTCTTCAAGATGGGTGGTGAAATTGTAGATCGCGTTCCAGCGCTCGTGCGTGGTAGGTGACGGGGTCGACGTCGAGGTCGGAGTCAAGGTCGTTGAAGTAGCGGTCGAGGTGCCTCGCGCGCTTGGAGACCGTGGGGCTGTTCAATTATACGGGTCTGGGTAGAGAAACCTTCGCTAACGCGGTCGAGTTTCCTCGCGCGCGTGGGCGGCGCGTGGGGCTGGTAGGTTGGGGTGGAGCAGCAGGTGGTGGCGTAGTCCTGGGGGACGGTCTTGTAGACGCCCAGGATGGGCATCCACGGGGTTCTTGTCCTCGATATCCTGGTCACCTCCGCCTCCACGAGGGTGTCAATGTGGATGATGTCATGTGAAAGTGTAAAGAGATAGAGATTGCGATAGCGACGATGCCTCAGAAGTGGGGACGACGCCTCTTACTGATACCACTCCCCGCCGCAGGTAATGGACCGCCGCAAGTCAAAGAAAATTGGGCGCGCCGCCTTGAGCAAAGACAGCGGCGGTACGAACAACGTTATATTCAACTTCATAAACATAACTATACATACTTGCATACATACTTGCATGCATGCATGCAAGCACGCATGCATGCATACAGACATACATAACTGCATACATGCATATGCGCCTTGGGGCGGTTCCTCAAAGTCGCGGGCCACGCAGAAAACTGGTCTCCCCTCCCAAGATGGTCCCACGATGGCCCCCAAGACGGCCAAAATGACTCCAAGAGAGCCCAAGATGGCCCAAAATGTCTCCGAGACGGGCCAAGACGGTCCCAGCACGGCACAAGATGACCTCCAGCCGGCTCAAGCAGCTTCCAAAATGGCCCAAGTGGCCTCCATGAGGTCCCGCTAAGGACAAAGTCATGGATTGCCTTTTGGTTCTTCTATGATTTTGGAACTCTGGCATTCTCGGACTTCCGACGGTCCAAGACGCCCCATAAGCCACTGATATCGCTCCAAGAGGCCTCAAAGAGGCCCGCAAGATGTCCCAAGGGGACCCACCCGACGACCCAAGCAACCCCCAAAACGACCCCAAGACGGTCTCATAGACCTCCAAGACGGCCTCAAAGCGCCCAAAGAGAGAACCACGACTGCCCAGAGAGGGCCCCAGAACGGCCTCCGAAGGCCAAGTGGTCTCTGAAAGACCCCCGGGGGCTCCAAGAGGCCCCCAAGAGGCCCCCTGGAGGCCCCAGGACCAGCCAGAGGCCCCCCAGAGGCTCCAAGGAAGCCTCCAGGAGGCCCCAAGAAAGCTTCAAGAGGCCTCTGATTCGTCATCCTCCTCCTCCCCCTCCTGCTATGCGTCCTTCTCCTCCCCCATCCTCCCTCTCATCATCTATTCATGTTCCTTATCATCCCTGTCGCACCCCGAGACGTGTCGTTGTCGTGCCGTTGTCAAAAATGTGGCTATCGCTTCAGCGCCGTGCACACTCCGTCTTCAGATATTGCAAGAGCTTCTCGGTTGGAGTGCTGCTCCTCGTTCAAAGTGTGGCTCTCGCCTCAGCGCCGCGCACGTTCGTGTTCACAAAAGTCGCGAAAGTTGTACGTGTAGAAACCGATTCGTGTTCACAGTGCGGCTCTCGCCTCAGCGCCGCGCACATGTGCTGTTTGAATGTGCAACGGCTTCACCGATGGAAGGCGGGTCGTTCTCAAAATGTGGCTCTCACCTTAGCGCCGCGCACATTCATCGTAAAATGTTGCAAGAGTTTCATGGATGTCAGGCGGGTTGTTCTCAAAATGTGGTTATCGCCTTGGCGCCGCGCACATTGATTCTACAATATAAAACTGTTGAGCGGATTCGTATGGTTGACGCCCCAGAAAAAATTATCCTGGCGAAGGGCCCAACCATACGCAATTCCGAATGCCGCCGTTGTAAGTATCGTCGTTGGTGGAACACCCGATGGGGCCACGAAGCGTGTGAGAGGTGCGCCAAATGGAGGTGGAACTGCATGCGGACCCTGCCACTGGGGCCTTCGGTGGAGCACCCTGTGGGGCCGCGAAACGTGTGAGGGGTGCGCCGAAATGGAGGTGGAACTGCATGCGGACCCTGCCATTGGCGCCCTCGGTGGAGCTCCCTATGGGGCCGCGAAACGTGTGAGGGGTGCGCCGAAATGGAGGTGGAACTGCATGCGGACCCTGCCACTTGGGCCTTAGGCGGAGCTCTCTATGGGGCCACGAAACGTGTGAGGGGTGTGCCGAAATGGAGGTGGAACTGCATGCGGACCGTGCCACTTGGGCCTTAGGCGGGGCTCCCTATGACGCCACGAAACGTGTGAGGGGTGCGCCGAAATGGAAGTGGAACTGCATGCGGACCCTGCCACTTAGGCCTTAGGCGGAGCTCCCTATGGGGCCACGAAACGTGTGAGGGGTGCGCCGAAATGGAGGTGGAACTGCATGCGGACCCTGCCACTGGGGCCTCAGGTGGAGCTCCCTATGGGGCCACGAAGCGTGTGAGGGGTGCGCCGAAATGGAGGTGGAACCGCATGCGGACCCTGACACTTGGGCCTTCGGTGGAGCTCCCTATGGGGCCACGAAACGTGTGAGGGGTGCGCCGAAATGGAGGTGGAACCGCATGCGGACCCTGACACTTGGGCCTTCGGTGGAGCTCCCTATGGGGCCACGAAACGTGTGAGGGGTGCGCCGAAATGGAGGTGGAACCGCATGCGGACCCTGACACTTGGGCCTTCGGTGGAGCTTCCCTGGATGGCCGGCCACGAAAAGTGTGAGGGGTGCGCCGAATGGAGGGAACTGCATGCGGACCGCCACTTAGGCCTTCGGTGGAGCTCCCTATGGGGCCACGAAACGTGTGAGGGGTGCGCCGAAATGGAGGTGGAACCGCATGCGGACCCTGACACTGGGGCCTTCGGTGGAGCTCCCTATGGGGCCACGAAACGTGTGAGGGGTGCGCCGAAATGGAGGTGGAACCGCATGCGGACCCTGACACTTGGGCCTTCGGTGGAGCTCCCTATGGGGCCACGAAACGTGTGAGGGGTGCGCCGAAATGGAGGTGGAACCGCATGCGGACCCTGACACTTGGGCCTTCGGTGGAGCTCCCTATGGGGCCACGGAACGTGTGAGGGGTGCGCCGGAATGGAGGTGGAACCGCATGCGGACCTTGCCACTGGGGCCTTCGGTGGAGCTCACTATGGGTCCACGAAACGTGTGGCCATGATGGAGACGGCGATGATGATGACGACGATGGTGATAAGAACGATGATGATGATGATGCTGATGATGACGGTGACGATGACGATGATGATGATGCTGATGGTGAGAGGAGGAGGAGGAGGAGGAGGAGGAGGAGGAGGAGGAGGAGGAGGAGGAGGGGGAGGAGGAGGAGAGGAGGAGAGACGCGGGGCACCGTCTCTTCAAAACGAGGACCCAACACCACAGGATGGTTGGGAAATGTTCCAGCGCGGTGTACGATCGTCAGGGCGCTACAGTCACGTTGGCTGGCGGCATCGAAGTCCCAGGAATGGTTTCTGGCACGCTGCAGGATCGTCAGGACGTGACAGTAAAGTTGACTCGCGGCGTTTAGGTCCAAGCCAAGGGATGGTGTTTGGCACGGTCGAGGATTCTCTAACAGTTGCATTCCAACGGAGCACTTCCAGCAGTGAAAATAAATCATCCCAGTGCGGCCCTACCCAGGAGTTGGAGCCTCTAGGAAAGCAACATTAGCAGGCTAGGCTAGGCTATGCTAGGCTATGCTATGCTATGCTATGCTGCGCTATGCTACGCTGCGCTATGCTATGCTATGCTATGCTATGCTATGGTATGCTATGCTATGCTATGCTATGCTATGCTATGCTATGCTATGCTACGCCATGCTGCGCTATGCTATGATGCGCTATGATATGCTATGATATGCTATGATATGCTATGCTATGATATGATATGATATGCTATGCTATGCTATGCTATGCTGTGCTATGCTTTTGTTGTGTCGTAGCTGTTGCCTTTACTTTTGCCTTGGCTGTTGCTTTTGCTTGGCACCCAGGGAGCGCAACTGGGGGAACCACGCGTTTGCTTTTACCTTTGCTGTTGTGTTTGCTTGGCTCCCGGGGTACTGGGGGAACCGCCCGGGGCGATTTCCACTGCCCGGCCCCTTTGAGCGAAGCGAGTAAGAACCCTTCTAGGCAGAGCCTAGGTAGGGAATTATTGTAGGGACCTATGAAGAGAGAACTTGGAGGGAGGGTTATTGTAACATCGCTGATGCGCCTTGGATTTACACTGGTCCTCCTCATCATCCTCCTCCTGTCTCTTCCTGTACCACTTGTGACCCCAAAGGGGTTCCACAGCGGCCTGGGAAACACGTAGTTCAATAGCTTGACCAGACTTCGGCACACAACGTCTGGCCGCAAAGGCGTTTGCAAAAGGCAGGGGGCGGCGGTGATTCGCCAGAGGCGTCTTCGATATTGAAGAACAACATGTGGCGACGGGTTTTCGGGCCGCCAGAAGTATGGGTCCCGTTTCTCCCTCTGCCCAAGTCGTCGCCATCATACTTGTAAACGCGCACGGCGCCGTACTGGTGGCCGCTGGCGCCGATAACCAGGTAGCTGCCTTTGGGGGGGGGGGGGGGCAGACCCCGCCAGGGAACGCCCGCCCCCGCCC